TGCTCGGGGAAAGCGAGCCCTGTCTGAACGACGATAGCTAGAGAGCCCGGACTTGCATAATATTGTACAGTAACGTCCGGACCATCTACGCATGCAAAAGAATTACTAACATTGTATGTTAATTTTCTGAGAACAGAGCTGGTTTCCCAAAGATCCTCTGGAATTTTTTCAAAAGTTGCCTCCGCTTGTGAAAAGTTTTGCTCAAGTCTTGGCTATTGAACAGCGAACATCGCAGGTCTCTGTCTCATTCCTATCAAAAGTTATTAAAAAAATGCCCCCGGGTCTTGTATTTTGGGATGAATAGTAGTCTTGTAGAGCTCATCAAGTTACGTAAGAAACTGTCTTTCCTGACTTCATAGCTAATGTAGAAAAGAACATCAGATGCAGAAACTTCTGCATCTTCTCACACAGTTTTCGAAATTTTGCAGTTAAGTCTTCCAAGAAATAAAACTCACAATTAGTTCTCACCTGGCTTTTGAATTTTTTAAATTATATTAATTTTTTAATTATTGGTTCCAGTTGGAAACGTTGTTTATATATCAAAACATGCAGAATTTAATTCTGTTTAAGATAGTAAGACTGAAACCCTGTATTGAGAACGTTTTACTGTTTCTATAGCTCAAAAAATAAAGGATACGAAAAATAGGTTCAAAGATTAAGCTTTTTTAGATTTATCAGTTTTTTGCACTGAGAAATTTTCTTAGAAAGCTCAACCGCAAAATGCCGAAAAATATGTGAGAAGAGACAGAAATTCTGGTGCATCTTCTGATGTTTTCAAAACTCTTACGGAATTTGTTTTTGGATCTATCCTTTGGAAATACTTGAAGGTAAATATTTTTCAACTCAGCATCATGCAATGTTTTGAATGGTGCTCAAAGGAGAAAAATGCTATCAGAGAATTCAATTTTCTATCGGCTAAGGTTGTAACAAATTCTTTGAACCACTCGACAGCGCCTCAAAAACAACGAACAAAAGTATCCCATTTGATTTGGGTCACACGATAGATAAAGAAAGAGAGACATACATAACGAAATTCTTCAATCATCATACAACTAATAAGTATAATTAATAATATTTCTGTCCAATGTATTGATGGTATATTACCGATTGGAGGTTCAAATTGAAATAACATAACATAACTGAATAATAACACAATAAAGATATATTGAATCTACAACAGAGTAAGATACAAAGACTATCTGATATATTTTTTTGAATTTTGAAAGTACGTACACAATGATAAGAAAATTTCATGTGTAATGTTTGGTGAAAATGTATAAACTGTAATATTGTTTTATTTATATGTGCATCACCTTTGAACACTTTTGGATTATTAACAGCATAAGAATCATTATAATTAATACCATACGGCTGAAGACTATTGTCAGAAGGATATTAGAAAGAATTTTTAAAATAAAAATACAACTTTCTTACCTTCGTTCTTGTCTGTCGTCTTCTTTCTATCAACAAAAACGGTATAAACAATAACAGAAAATTCAAAAGCATTTAAGAGGGCATTCTGTAAGTCAATCGAACATATCAGTAATCTAGTCATAAAATAAGTTTCTTTCTAATCCGTAATTTTATGTAAATTATGTTAGAATATGCTCTAGAAAGTACTCTCAAAAAACTTTCAAGCATGTGATGAAACATAGAGAGCATGTCAAGCATGTCCAGACTAATAAACAGTAAAAGCTTTGAGTTAAAAGCTCAAGTGATTCCAGAGTTATGATCCAGCGGCAGTTTTTTTGTTTTGCGTTCGAATCGGTTTGACTCGACTCGCCTTGATTCGGCAGAAACAATACCAGGCACGACACGACTCACGAGGAAACCTCTTGAGGTTATAAATCGCTTTTGAACTCGGACTACTTGTACCTTGTAGACCTAGGTGAGTAGTGAAATACCATAAGTTGGTTCATCCCCATAGTGCTTTGTTGCTAAGATATTGAATTTTTAGTCAGTTTTTACCTATAGAGCTTGGATTTCGAGCAAAATCCGACTTTCGAATTTTGACTTGAGACTTGCCACACTGGTAGCCCATGGTCATAGTAGTACGATGGGAAAAAATTCGATCCTAATGAATTTTCCTGCCTTGAGATATTGAGACTCGA